ATCCAGTTGAGTTTTTGCAAACTTGCCAAGCAGCTATTGTATAATCAAATTAGCGAAAACTGATGATCAAATTCATTGCTACCGTTGCTGCTGTAGCAATTGCAAAGGAATTATTGGAATGCAGTAAGCGTGTGGCAAGTGAGCACTGTGCAGGAGAAGATCCAAACGAAAGTTTCTTAAATCTATTATTTGAATGCTGCGGCAATATTTAAAACAAGTTCGCCTTTCGCGGGTGATCTAACGAGTTACTAATATATGAGTAGCTATCAATTTTAATAACCGATGCACATTATGCATTCAAGGTACAGAGGAGAAGGTTGTGTCTGGAAAAGGAGGAACCGTCAACAAGTAGTTAGTACGCGCAAAGGAGCATGAGGTTGACAATTCCCATATAAAGAAGGGTACAACTCTAGATTTAAAGCACAATCAACTACGTAAATCCTTATTATTAGCATTTACCGATTTAAATACACTATTGCTTAACGACAGCTTAAAGTTGGTAGGGGTATGTGTACACAAACCGATAGTAAGTGCCGTTATACTTTAGTGAATGCGTGAGAAAGAAAATGTAACAATGGCTCAATCGAGTGTTGCTTCACTTGTCAGTTGAGGTATGGTTATCCACATTGCACCCATCCAGGCTACTCACATGAACACCTTTGAATGTGTCCTCACGGTCACTTTGCCTAGTAGGCAGTTAAGCACACGATACCATTTGCGTTATTTCCTCCTGCTAGTGAAACGGGCTATTTCAAGAAACGCAAGCTAGGAAGCCTATATTCGACCTGTTATTATTTGGCCCTCATGATAATAGTTTGGTTCAGCTTCAACAGATTGCAAAATAATTATTAAGGTTCGCCAGTATTAAGCAAAACTTGTTTAGGTATCCTTGATGATGTCCGTTTTCACCCCTGTACAATCACAAGGAAGGTAGCTTGCATTGCTAGAAGAGATGAAACCATCCTCTGACGCGTTAAGTTGTTTTACTTTGTGGTGCTTCAATTGTATCGACGTCAAGCTTGTGCTAGAGGCACCAGGCCTCCATCGCATATTCCACGTACCGCTTCACCTAGGCGTTTAGCATTTTCAAAACCACTGGTAAGGTAAAATTTCGGAAAGCCCTCCGTAAAAGTTTAAGGATTTGGCGTACTATTTTTGATGACCTCTGGCCTGTCTTGAGCAACCAAGAGTGTAATGCAGGATGACAACCTAGCTGGTATACTTAGGATGTACGTTTTAAATGCTGATTCCCAAGTCGATGCTCATAGATACACTAACCCTGTATGCTTACGACATTGCACTTGGACATGATGAAATTGAGTCAGTTATCGGACAATAAAGCATAAGCCTTGTAGCAATCGCACTGTAATGCCATGTGAAAATCCGATGTCCCGATGTCATGGGAACTTTCGACCTCATGTGCAAACAGTGAAAATGGGATCCCGCACTGCACACTGCGGAGCTATTTGGCGTGTCTATACAGCCACGTAGGATTTCAACAGAAACTCGTCGCTAAACTCTGTTGATGCTGGCGTTGGTGGTTGTGAAACAACTTGCCTCAATTGTTTGGTTGAGATTTTAAGCACGTAAGTCAAGTTACTAGGACGGACTTTGTAAGCGGGCCAAACTGAATCCCAAAAGGTCAAACGGATCTGATACGTCTCCTCAGGAACCAATCCACGTGCTTTAGGCGAAGTGTCTTGATTTCTGACGCATTTTCCTCTACCTGATTGAATTGGGCGACGAACAACGTTCGGGCGATGGTGGGTTGCATCTCTGCCAAGTAGGACCAGCGAAGATTTTGAACGACTTTGGAGAGACTATCGTAATTTTTAACGACATGGGTTACCAGGATGTTCTCACTGATTTACCTCAAATAACGGATGTAACGGAAGAGCAGCGTCGCGTAATATGTATGCCCATGTGGTGCGCCTATGATCTCGGTGCTGAACAAAACTTACTTTTTGGAGAGCACAAATCTAAAATGAGTGTTGCTCCGTTCGGAATCGAATCAGAAATGTGGCGTGGATGCCAAGAGTTAGAGTGTGATTACCTTTTGTAAATTACACTTGAAATTTTGCAGTGCAATGCTGGTGCTTGATGGCGTAGAGGTTGTTGCCTACACCAGAAAAAAGTCAATGCATGGTCCCGCAAAAGTCGTTTAATTACAGTAGATAATAATTGCTCCATTTCAATTTGCACAAGAGAGAGCGGGAAGCTAATGCTAGGAAACACACCTCACTACATCTTAGAGGCATCTTACAGAAAAGAGAATCGACTACCCTACTCTTAAGCCTTTAATCCGAACAACATGCAGAACAGATTTATACGACAGTAGCAATTCCCCTTTTCTCCTATTTCGACTGTATAGTACCAGCGCCTCTCACCTTGTGTAAACACAAAATTCGTGTCCTCGGTGTTCATATATGTTACAGTGATTATAACCGGGTTCCAACCCGTGAAGAATTGTCGAGTACGGAGCTTCACTATCACGTTGAGAAAGCCATGTGCATTGTCCTGCAAGTACGTAGGAGCCTCGACGTTTTGGAGCGTGGTTTTGTATCCCGGTTTCAGGTGGCGGTTTATGCTGACCCATGTGGGGTCAGCTATCTGTAGCATTTTTTGGGACCAATGCTGCAGAGCCTACGGCCAGTTCACGTTTTTGTATACAGCTCTCTGCGCCAACAAGATCGTTGGCACTCGGTACTTCCTCAGCTGTCAGTGTGTTCTGGCATTAGCTCCGTCCTAAGCTACATGATGACAGACTTGTATTGGTAATTTGCTTGCACAGTGTGACGTTGTTTTTTGTGGCCTGTTGCCTATCGCCTTTCCAAGTGTTTTGAAGGGCAGCATGTTATGCCTTTTGTGTCACATTATAAGCACGTATCCTGCCATCAGTGTGGATTGCAATTAAACGCTCTTCCACCGGACCACACCCTATAAAATTATGTGAAATCGGTAAACTTGAGTTTGGATAAGCGATAAGATTTTGCATAAGATAACACCTCGAGAGTAAAACTCCATTCCTCTCCGTCGGGTGCGTTGGCGTCTAGCTGACCTTATGTCCGGAGCTAGGGGACACCGTGAACAGGCATAAATTTTGCGTCTATTTGTTTATGGGCATCATTCAGCTTTTGTTTAGATTTCTGGTGTTCCCACCGACAAACATCTGGAAAACGTCCAACAATGCATCTGATGGTAGTTTGCCGAGTGAATGACGAGAGAGCGGCCACTGCGTCATTACCTGACTGATGTGTTATCTGCAGCAATTGCGGTTAACTGTAGTATACGGTTGGTGTTACGGACAAGGCGCAACCTATTGACTGGTAAAGCTTAAACCTAATTAGCTGCAACACGGCGAACCCCGGTGTCAGGTTGATACTATTTTATCTTTTAAGAAGCCTCTGGGAGTTATTCTCAGTCAAACACTTGACCGTCCAGGAATTATGGTTATGTATCCTGTTCTCCTGTCTTTCATAGCCAATATTTGATTTCTTCGGTTGGACAAATGATTTGGCCTTTATTTTCGTAATCGTATCGGTAGTAGTAAGCGGATTGGGAAGAGGCACGTTTTACATGGGATGTGCTCCGTCCTATGGGGCCATAATTTAAGCGTATGTTGTCCGGCATCCAGCAGTGATCGGTGTAATCGGTGATTTGGTTAAATAAATGGTAGCCATTATACCTGTATGAGCAGCGGCCAGGGTTTGGCTAGCTATATCCAGTTCGTTACCGCTTCAATGTCCTGAATTAGTGCTTGAGGTTGAGTATAGATTTTGAGGCCCCGGTTCGTAAAAATTAGGTAGGACGGCAAGTACTGTGGCTTGATCTAACACAAACAGCGCCAACGGTGCTACACATATATCTGGTGGCATGGAGTTACACTCAGTGAGGAAGCAGAAGGAATCGTACTGACTATCAATATTTCTATCTGACTCTGTTTATGGCGAGCATCTCCAGCATGAAAGTATTTTCTGTAACGGCGGTATCATTTTCCAATACGCACAAGCTTCACACAGCTTTCTATGCCGCGCTTAACGTTCAGTTCGGAAGCTTTGAGCTTATGTCTCTGTGGGCAAGCAATAGATTCAAACTGACTGCCAGACCTGCGAACATAGTCGTCGCCACGTCCACCTGTGTAAGCTAAATCCAAACGCTGACGGTCGGTGTGGCTGACTTCGGTTAGGTTGCTGCTGAACAAATTCAAAACGGCGGACACAGACGAAGGTTAGGCTATTACGTGTGACGTATACGTAGCCAGAGAATATCCACAAAATTCGCATATATGGTAAAAATGAGCCACAAGAAAAGCATCCGCACATTATTGGCAAAACGGCCAAAGGGATATTTAATAGCTCCAAAGCAAAAGCAAACTACAGTATGTAAACAAATATTTGCGGCGCCCGATATGCAGCCAGCATTGTTGTGTCCATTGCACTTGTACAGATGTAGGATGTCTCATATTCTTCAACAATTTTACATTTGACAAACCAAAAGATGCATCTAAGTTCAGCAGTAATCTAATCTTCCAGAAGCCGGTCGCTAACAGTCTCTTGTCAGCGCTAAGGATGAAAAGAATAGGCAGAAACGCATAGATCTGTTAGGTATAAAAATCCCTGTTCTAACGAGTTTCAAAACTCCTGCTTCAAAATATAATTTGTTCGTTCTTATATTCCTTGACGATGCGCATACTCAATTGTTTCCGTATCCGTACAATAGCATGCTTTATTTAAAAGCTAACAGATTTCGGTAGTGACCAGCGCAAGCAAATGCTTATAAAAGCTAACATACTACGCTTAAAAAAATATATCAACCGCCACACAAAAAGAAGACAAATTGACGTATCTATATTAATGACAGCCCGTGATTAGCACTTCAACCTATAATACACAGAACAATTTGCTAAACGGTAAACTATGCATAAACGTTCGAGCTCGGAAACATAGCACAAAGTGAAATGCAGTAGTACATTTTATGAATGCCTCGTTATGTAACAAATAATGTCCGATTGTGACATCGAAAATCCCAACCTGACCTTCACCATAGGTAAAGCTGCAGACATTGGAAAGGATATTATACACAGTGGAGAAGATGCAGCAGGTAAGCAAGATTTAAATGCTATCAAAAATCAGCTTGGATTAGTGGGCTTCATGCTCATGCTATTATCTCCCCTGAAATTGTGCAGCCGTATAAGCGGAAGACGGCAGAAAATAAGCAACGTTCCAACACTAGTAATAGCCTCTTAGGTGACAGGTAAATTAAAAGGTGAATGTTTATGATAACAATTGAAACCAGAAGCAAACGACGTTCACAGATAAGGATTATGGTATAACTTAACATAAAGACCAATGGAAAGCACATCCACCTTCATATACACTGATGTCATTTGGAGCAAGTTTGCCCAAAGTGTGTATGCAAATATCCGTTATTCGGTTATCTTGAGTTACTGTACCATTTGATGCAACTGCCATCATTTCAATTTTCGCTTCCTAAGTGCTTTGCTGCGTACGGATAGTAATAAAGTATGAAGGTACAATAGTGCCGAAATCGACAACAGTAAATCGACGTAAAATAATAGAAAATGCAAGGAGTGTAATAGCAAAACACGTCTTATAATAAATAACTTTAATTCGGATTGGAAACAAGCAGATTTGCAGCGCATGCACCGACCAGCACTTGTTAATTTCCAATCCGCCTAACGTCAACTAATTGTTGGTTATACATGCAAACTTAGCCGTCTACAAAATATACTGTTACGTCAAAGCTGCAACTTCAATGAAATAGCAACTGCAATTACACATACGCAGTCAACCGCAGATTTGTGTTCGTACTGATAATTGAATTAGTTTTAATAACAACTGTTCACATGCTTTTGAATGGGAATAATATGAAAGTTACCTTAAAGGCATATGTTCACAGGTTGCTTTACAACCGTTATTGAACAATTCACAATGGAAATATTTACCACGAATAAAAACGCACGTGCTGGAAGAGTCTCGTAGGATGGATGGAGTAAAAATGAAAATTTGTAGGACCATCATGAAAATGAACGCCCAGTTCAAATATCCACCGAGTTTAGCGCACTACTGCATAACAAAAATTTAAAGTATGAATGATGTGTAAAATTAAATAATATAGGGAACGGTTAAAGTATATCAAGTGAGTGCGAAATGAAAAAGGAACCGAAGTCGCGCACTGGTGGGTTGCTAGGTTTGATAGACGGGGTAGGGTTGTCCATAGTGTTTACGCCAACGCTATTCACATGGACACTTTTGCATGTACAGTCACGGCAACATTTCAGCGATGGCAGTTAAGCAAATGGTTAGGTTTGCTTTGTTTCCTCCTTCAAGTGGAACGGACCATATCTAGTGATGCAAGTTGGAAAGCGTATTATAAAGGCGGTAGTTCAAAAGCATTAACTTAGGGGCATAAATAGCGTAATTTGGACGGATATTTCAGACACGGGACTCACAGAGGGAGAAAATGTTTCGTCGGTTAGCTTTTCGATGGTAGTGCGTAGCCTGCTTGAAATGATGTCCCCTCAGATTAACTCAGCTGCAACAAATTGCGGTAGGTGTGGGTAGATCTCGGCAATATTAAGTAAACCAAAATTGGTTCTCCTCGCTGACGTTGACATTCACCACTTTAAATTCCCAGGGACGGCATTTTGTGCTGACAGGTGTGATGAACGAATCCTCTAACGAGTTTGGTCACTCCACGTCATGGAGCTTCAAGTGCATCGAGGTTGCACCTGCGCTAGGGACACAACGCCACCATCGCTTATGCCACGCGTGGCCTCAGCAGTTGCGAAAGATTTGACGGATAACAATTGCCGGAGGCCCCACTTAGGAGTCCAGAAATTTTACCGGCTATTTCGGATGCTTTTTCGACCGGTCGCAAGCAAACGTGTACGACCTGCGCGATCACACCGAGGTCAGTTTCTTGTGAGGAACTTTGTAGCAGCTGACTCCAACGTAGTTATTCAAAATAATTTGATGGCTTTTGCTTACGACTTTACAGTTGGTGACATTGAAATATGGTCGGTTATCGGACGAGCACGCACGCGGATTGCTATTTGGTCACCCGATATCCTGAGATTACAAGAAATTTTGAACTCATGGGCAAATTTTAGTAAATCCGACTGTAATACACTGACAAGTTCGTTATGAAAATGTAAGAAATAACCTTGACTCCAACACTGAAAATTGGGGCCCTTTGAGTTCGACTTCATTTGAGTCAATGATGAAGCTGCGGTTTCGCAGATTCAGCATACATATAGCGAGGAATTTATCGATCCATCCGATTGTATGTACACCGTTTCTGTGGTTTTATAGCTTGTGATGGATTATGCAATGGTTTAAACAGGCGTACGCATTCGAGATATCAAAGTAGACAACTTTGACTCGTGCGCTTGCATTGGCTGCCTCTGTCTAATTTGTCCTGGCCAGCAGCAAGTTGCTAGTGCAGGATGCAATCCGCTGGGATCCGTGTGTCTGTATTATCAAAAGGTTTTGTTCTCAAGGTACCCCGTGAGCAACCATGCAAATATACGTTCTACTAATGTGAGTGAAACTTGGAAGAAACATAAAGGACTGTGATTCCAGGGATCCAAGCAATTACCGCTTTATAAATTGGAGGGAATATTTCACGTGCTCACATTGTGCGAACCTATGTTTCTTTGAGACAACGTTGGAAGAACCTAGCTAATATGCTAGCACGGTTCTTGGCCGCTGTCAAGAAAGCCATTTGTTTGATGTCATCCACGCCCGGTGAGCAGTGCACGCGCAATAACACTATCGTTATCGTCATATTGACTGCCTTGAAAGATAGCTTGTTTTACCGGATGGCGAGGAAGCTTTGTCGAAAGCGGATCAATATCTGATTCACTATGGCAAGTAGAACTGAAGAATCAGCGAAGCACGTCTGCTGCATCTTGTGCGGTTTGCATGCTACCATCTGTTGCAAGTGAACACGGATCTCGCACTGCAAACTGCGGAGCCCGTTTGTGTGTTTATTGAGCCAGTTGGGATCTTTAAGAAGTTCTTCACTTAGCTCTGTTGATGCTGCAGTTTATGGTTTAGAATGAAATTGCCTCAGTTGTTTCGTTGTTTTTTAAGCACGTAAGTCAAGTTACTAGGACGGAATTTGTAAGCGGGCCAAACTGAATCCCAAAAGGTCATGCGGTTTCGTGTACGTCTCCTCAGGAACTAATCCACTAGCTCTAAGCGAAGTGGCTTGCTTACTGACGCATTTTCCCTAGCTCATTGATTTGGGTGACAAAAAGTTTCCGGGAGATTTAGGCACCTTCTCTGCCAAGTAGTTCAAGAGAAGGTTTGAACGACTTTGGAGAGACTATCGTAATATGTAACGACATAGGTTACCAGGATGTTCGCACTGCTGTAAACTGAATAACAGTTGTAACGAAAGATCAACTTCGCTTAATAGCTTGATCGAGGTAGTGCACCCATGGTCTCAGGGTTCACCATTCGTTAACTTTTGGAGAGCACAAGGCCTAAAATTGTTAGTGTCTTTAGATTGGTTTCGCATGAGAGAGTTGGCGTGGTTGTAGAGAGGTAGATGGCGTTGACACTTGGCATATTGGCCTTAAATATTTCAATGTGCGATGTTGGAACTTTGTTTGTGTAGAGGTTGTTTTCCTCAGCCATAAGGACGTGACTGCATGGTACTGCCAGGAATGGTTACATAAACAAAGCTAATGGGTCCTCCAACTCAATATGGACACGCGTGAGCTAAAGTATACGTTAGAGAATACACCTCACTACGTCTTAGCCGCATCCAGAAGTAAAGAGAGTCGACTAACTTCCTTTCTGGGGCTTCATTCAGATAAAAATGCAATTAGGATTTATAAGAAAGGAGCAATTTCACTATGTTCCTATTTCGATTGCATAGTACGGAAGCAATGCTATTAGAGCAATCACAAAATTCGTTTCCTCGGTGTTTATAACGGTTGCAGTGTTCATAACCGGTTCCCAACACGTAAAGACCTGTCGAATACGAAGCTCGGCTATCATATTGAGAAGGCCTTGTGCACTGGCATACAAGCACGTAAGAGCATCGATGTTTAGAAGCGTGGTTGTGTATACGGTTTCTGGTGTCGGTTTATGCTGACCCATGTGGGGTCAGCTGCTTGTAGTATTTTGTGGGACCGAAGCTGCAGAACCTAAAGCCAGGTCAGGTTGTTGTATATAGCTCTCAGCGCCAACACCAAGGTTGGCACCCGGTCCTTCCTCAGCTGCCGGTGTGTTCTGGCATTATCTCCGTCATAAACTACATAATGACAGACTTGTATTGGTAAGTTGCTTGAGAAGTGTGGCGTTGCTTACCTGTGGCCTTGTGCCCATCGCCTTTCCATGTATTCCGAATGGCGGCAATTTACGCCTATTGTGCCACAGTTTGAAGACGTGCAAAGCCTTCGGTGTTGTGTGCAATTAAACGTTTACTTATCGGCACACACGTTCTGCAGTTTGGTGAGAGCGTTAAACTGATTTCCTAAAAATATGCGATAAACTACCCAATATTGATCCCCTTGCGAGTTAAACGCCATTTCTTTGATTCAAGTGCTTTTGGCCTGTAAGCTACCTTATGCGCCGAGCTTGGGGACATCGTAAACAGGTAGACATTTTGCGTCTATTTGTTAATCGCCATTACTCGGAATTTGTTGAGGTTTCTGTTGTTCACCTTAATGAACAGCTAGGAAACGCCCAACAATGCATCTGGTGATAAAAAGGCGAGTGACTGACAAGATATCTGCCACTGCGTCATTACCTGATTGCTGTGTTATCTGCAGTAACCGCTGTCTACCGTCGTATACGGTTTGAGTGACGGACGAAACGCAACCTATTGACTGGTAAAGCTTGAACCCCACTAACGGCCATACGGCGTCCCACAGTTTTAGGTTGTATAGTATAAAATCTTTTAAAATATTCGCTTCGGAACTGGTCTCAGTCCAGCATTTACCAGCCCAGGAAACATGGTTATTTTTCCTGTTCTCCTCTCATCCATGGCAAATAATTGATTGCTTCGGTTGGACAAATGATTTGGGCTTGATTTTCGTGATCGTATCTGTAGAAGTAAGCGGT